TCTCCCTCTCCCGCTCCCCCTGTTTGTGCATGTGCTCGCTCTCTCGCTGTCAAATAAAATCTTAAAAAAAAAAGTTACCTACCTTAATAATTTTTATTTCTTTTTCCTATTGGGCTGTCATGGATTTGTATTTTTATGATTTATAAAACTGTTCCCAAATGGCTGCATCTTTGCCATGAATTAAGAGTGTTCCTTTTCACCCCTAACTTAGAGAACTTGGAGGGGCTCTAAGTAGACTCCATCCCAATATCATTTAATGGAGCTCTGTTTGTATTTCTCTAATTTTGTAGCATTTACTGAGGGTAAAATTTTACAGGTTTTGTTAGGATTATACAATGAAGCCCACAATAGAGACAGGGATAGGTTTCCAGATTAAGGTACATGCTGGAAATGCCTAATTGTTGAACTGGCCAAAATATTTTTTTAAGTATAATTCCCAAAAAAGATAACTCCTTAAACTGATTATTTATAAAAAGAGGAGGCGCTTGTGTTGGGGAGATAAGCCATGTATTTTTAGCATCTTCTCTCCCTTGGTATAAAATGGAGGAATCTTAAATTCACTATCCACTAATTATTGGAGAGCACACTCTCATTTAAGACTTTTTTTCTTTCTATCCTCTAATAGATTGACAAATTCTGGTGCCAGGCTTTTCTTTGCTGACCTGGGCCAGCAGCAGTAATGCTTTTTTTGGAAACTGCTAGATCCGATCTAGCTGTTGCTTTACGAAGGGAGCCCCTTTTCTGAGGCTTTTCTTGCAGTAGTTTTGCTAGAATGCCCCTTTGTATGTGAGCCTAAAACTTTAAGAGTAATTTTAGTTTTGTTGTTTAAGAAAATCTGGTGTCCAATGTGGCTATACTGGCACCTAAGAGACTATCTGTAGAGAAAGAATGAAAAGTATGTACAGAGCAGGTTAAATGAGTACTGTGTCTTCTGAAAACCTTGGACTTAAATGTCGAAGGCAATTCTGTTTAGGTCTGAGCTCAGAGTGGACTTACTGGAGCAGTAGTATCTTCTGTTTCATTTCTCCAACTGGGGAAGCTTTGTCTTCATATATGGAGACCCCAGAATAGCTAAGCGTATTTGTAGTAATTGGAATTTTAATAGATAATCTGAGGGTATCTGGCTGACTCCGTTGGTAGAGCATGCAACTCTTGATTTTGGGTAGTGAGTTCAAGCCCTACGTTGGGCATAGAACTTACTTTAAAAAAAAAAAAAGTGATTTTAAAAAAAAAATGTGATCTAAGCAAGTATGTATATATACTTTTGACTTGCTTTTGAATTTAGTTTAAAAAAAAGTGGAATTTCAGAATATGAAGCAGAGAAGAGAAAACCACAAAGGTATATAAGAGCAGCAGTATTTGGAGATATAATGAGCATACTAGGAGACTTAAGATTGTACACAAGGAGGGCGCCTGGGTGGCTCAGTTGGTTAAGCGACTGCCTTCGGCTCAGGTCATGATCCTGGAGTCCCGGGATCGAGTTCCACGTCGGGCTCCCTGCTCAGCAGG